ATAATTACAATTAAAAATGTCTTTGATATAATAACCTGAAATAAAAGTGAATGAATATAATGAAAAATCTTACAATATCATGATAAGGGATTTAATGATATACTAAAAACAAAATCTGATGATTTTCCATAAAGTAGTCACTATTTGGGGAAAAAAACCTTTAGGTTGCATATTATGCATTAGTTATACTTGTTGATAACATTTTTTGGTAGTACACGGGATATATCACCAAACCGGTCAGAACAGGACGGGTCTTGAGCATGCCCTTGTGGTCAATGAATACTTTGTAAGAGCGTGCCTATTTGGGCGAGGTGGACGACCGGCGATTCCACACGTCTTTTCTGGCACAAAGTGGTTAAACCGTAATGGCTTTGACTCGCCTGATTCAAACACTTGTTAATTAACAGATAGGTCGTACGTTACACTGCCGAATAATAAACGAAAGATGAATTGCTCGAACATATGAATTAATACTCTACCTATAAAGACGCAAAAATAAAAAGGGTTGTCACAAAATTTTCCGGACAACTCTCGTACATATCTGCGTTTGAATTCCGTCGGCTTAAAAACCAAGCATTCTATAGTTAAGTTATCATTTTAAACAGCATTGTTGAAAATTTCATTAAAAATTGTTCTAATTCATGATTTTAAAAGGAAACACCAACGGTTACACTATAGTTCGTATACGAATCTTAACATGCAAATGAAGACAAGTATAAATCAACTAATGCACAGTATATAAATTTTAAAATAATGATATAAAACTATTGATGAAATACCAATAAAATGCTCTATTTATAATCGACCATTTAAAAAATAATGCGGGAATGACATTGAAATTATCATAAAACTTTGACCCCATAATTAAACACGTCAGTTTACAAAGTGCAATCGAAATTGGTTGTTACACACTTGTGGAAATTTCACTCTAAATTACATAAAGCAAAATTGAATATAGTATCTTAACTAAAACTAGGTATCAATTTGGTCAATAATGTTTACCTCAATTTGAATGTGTTTCATCCGGAACTAGCTGGATTCAAACAACGTAATATCACGTTTTTAAATCGTCATTTAAAGATTTAAACATAACAAACAACTAAAAAAAATAATAAAACAGCAAAAGCATATACGTTCAGATAGCAAACTTGTTATCCTCTTAAAGCACTTACTTTTGTGAGAATCTTTCTTTAAATATTTAATGATTTGTGATACATAGATAAACTAATTCATTTATTACAATGGTATTCACTGTTAGTGTTTGCCACAGTCCGGAAGTTAAAATGCTCTATATATTTCGTCTATAAAGTATTATTTCAGACATCCGCGGAAGTAATTATCCATTCCTTGATTCATTCAACATTCCGAAAGATGAATCTGATTAAAACGTCGCCAATTATCGGTCCTATTTTTCTGTCTAGAAATAAAATGAATACCATCAATATCATTTTTGTGTTTAATACAATTTAGTCAAATGAAAGTAAATAAGTAAAACGGTTGTGTAATTGTTACAGATAATATAAAGCATGTATAGTTAAGGCCTCTTTTGTCTTTTTAATAAAGTATGAAAACAATTATTTCCAATCAATTCCTAAATAATCGTTTATAATCCATTTTTCAGAGAAAAATGTTTTAGATAAATAAAATGTTTTTTAGACATGGACATTGTGTATATCAAAGTAAATCAGTCACAAGTAATTTTTAAGTGTGTAACACATATAACTTTTCGGCATTAAACATTATCAAGAATTATGTTGTTTTTATGATGGCATTCAATTGTATGCAACAATTCTGTTTTCAATTTGAACACCTCTTCTTTATAGTTAAACGACACGTCTGTACAACTATTTGCTACAAAAATACTAATCTAATATCGTTCATTAGACATGTCTAAGTTAAGGAACTTAAAGGTCCATAATGTTATAGAAACTATTTTCTATTATTCTAAAACTTTATTTTTTCTTGATGTCTTGTTACAGTTTCAAAACAGTTACTAATTGACCATAACAATTTAGCTACCGTTTCATCATTTTTGTATTTTGGCAACGGGTAAAGGAATAATTTAGTATTTTGTATGGGTACTCAAATTACATGTTTGTGTCACATTCAGTGCTATAAGCACCTTGCATATTGTTAACCCATTATACTTACAACGGAATAGACCACATGTGTACTCTATCTGCAGTAAAAACAATATTACATTTTTGAAAGCTCGAATATATGTCAAAACTAAATAAATAATTTAAAAAGCTTATAATGGCTGACTATGGTTTGATATTTGACCGCTTTAGCATTTAAACAACGACGCGCTTTTGTCTAGTTGTATTTTCAGGTTTTTACAAGGTTTTCATCAGGAGACGTCAACAGCAAAGTGTGTTCTTTTATAAATAATTGTTATACATCGTAGTAAGTGACAGCTCTCATTAGCTCTCAACGTTATATATTTCATTTAGTGGAACAAAAAGGTTATGCACACAAAAGAGAAGAAAACGTGTTTCTAGGAGAATCAACTTTTTGCACTAAGACTGTGTTGTTGATAATATTGTAGTGATGTAATGGGAATATATAATAAGAACAAAAACTTGAAGTTAAATGTTAAATTATTTTCTTTAGTTTTTTTCATTTACTTGCATACTTTCATGTATTTCATACAATTTACTATCCACCCAGTTACTGTACAGTGAAATAAAACAAATACTTTTTCCAAAAAAGGGCTTAATGTTAGGATTAGTGTTCCTTTCAAATTTTTTAAAGTTAAAATATTTTGTTGAAAAAGGGGGTTTGTCTTTGGTTTTTTTTCTGTATTCCTTTTTTTTTGTTCGTGTTCATCTAACCGTTTGAGTGGCTTTCGGGGAATTTTGGCAGAGGCGGGTGACGTTTTTTTATCCCAAATGAAACAACAAAATAGTTTGAAACTAAAGAAAGATTTATTTAAAATTAAAATTAAGTTATTTTACGTATTTTTTTTGGGCACGATTTTTGGTTTATTCTTTCCTTTTAAATTTATAATTTTTTTTGTCCGAATTGTCACGCACACCTGAAATGGAAAACATTAAGTTATAAAATTCCTTTTTCAATGATTTAACATGCTTTTGATTTTGTGGATTTAAATTTTTTGTTTGTACTTTTAAATATTAAAGCAATCTTTTATATCAAGTTTATCGTTTTAAAAATAGAGACAAACAAAAGGGGGTTTTGCACATACCTTTAATACCACAAAGAAAAAAGCTGAGACAAACATAAACAGTTTTTTTTTCTTTTAATATTGATGTTTTACTTTCATAAATGACAAAGTTTGTCAAAAAAAGGTTGCAAAGTAGTATAATATGACGAAATTATTTCGTTCTTAGTTGTTGCTCATTTATGAAAATAAGGTCTTATTATCAGAGTTAAAAAAACATTAATGGTATAATAACTAGGAACTTCAAAAGTTAAAATTAAAATCTAAAATTAAAAAAATGCCCGTGTTATTCCAATTTTAAAATTTGGACCGAAAGGTGATCCGAACAACTATCGACCTATTTCTATCTTGCCTACAATATCTAAGATTTTTGAACGTCACACCATGTTTTCAAAAAAAAATATTTAACATAATAAACAATCAGGATTTCGAAAGAATCATTCATGCAATACGGCTCTTATTCATTTGATAGACTCCTGGCTAAAACATGTCGATAGTGGCAAATATATCTTTATAAGGTACAGTATTTTTAGACCTGATAAAGGCGGTTGATTTAGTTGACCATGAAATCCTTTTGATATAAACTCAAACTTTATCACTTTCTGTCACATCATTAAAACTGTTTCATTCGTATCTGTCTAATCGTATACAAATATTTCAAATTGGAGACTTACAATCTGACGTACAATATGTTACATCTGGCATTCCACAAGGCTCAATATTAGGTCATTTACTGTTTCTTTTTTATATAAATGATCTCCCAAATATTTGCGAGGATGTTAGCATAGATTTATATGCTGATGATTCCACTTTGCATAAATCTGGAGATGCCATATCAGTTATAGAGGAAAAACTACAATATAGCCTTAATATGATAATTAAGTGGTGAAAAATAAATAATATGCTTTTACACCCTAAAAAAATTTGAAAATTAACGACTCACCTCTTGACAATGTAGAATCACAAAAAGTGCTTGGTATTTATGATGAAAATACAATCAATTGGCAATGTCAGATAAATGATGTGTATAAAAATTGAACTCTTAACAGGCTTCGCGAAAGTTGCCGGACCGTCGGACATGTCCGGCAAAAATCAGGCCGGTCCAATATTTTTTTTCGGAGTTCCGGACCTTATGTCCGGTACGAATACCGGGATATAATCAAGACCGATCAAGACCGAGTTTTCTCCCTTGAATGAAAAAAATGTAAAACGAGTTTTGATTCGCCGTTTCCTTTTAAGTGTCCAATCAAATTCTAGATACATACGACTGTCAATAACCAAAATGTCGGTGTTTTTACAATACTACGCTGGCGCTACGCCCGGAAAAAAACGCAAACTGTCAAATGAAGAAAAAAAAGAAAAACAGAAAGAATACGAGGCCAGGCGCCCGCCGCGAAAATTTGTTGACAAGTGGAAAAATGGTCTCTCCTGGTTAGTTTTCCTGGAGGAAGATAAGAAGATGAAATGTGCACTATGTTCTAATTTTTATAAAGATCGTGCAATGGACGATCGCATATTGTCTAAAAATACATTCATACTGGGTTGTGGCAACCTAAAAATTTCAGCAATTGAGGACCATGAAAAATCAAAAAGTCATGAGAAAGCCGTCACCAGTGAAATGTCAAAAAGTAGGACAGTCATTGAAAAAATGAATTCTGATGCTGGCAAGTCACTGAAAATGTTGAAGCAAGCGGAAAGACACAAGGTTGCCTACCTGTTCAGAAATGCACATGCTGTTGCAAAACAAAATCGTCCCATATCTGACTATAAATGGCTGTGTGAGGTGATGTGAGGTAGATCAAGCTAAAAAGCTGTACATTCTTTTCATTCATGATGGATGGAACAACCGATATATCTGGAGGTAATATATACTTTTTCAAAACATGTTGCACTTTAATTTTTTAATAGATCTTAACCTCTCAGTTTTTTACTTTAATTATAGATTATAACTAGTTCACACAACAATTTAATTATATGGTTATATCAAGATAAAATACAAATAGATGTTATATATATAATTTTAGATTACATGTTACATGTTGTTATCAACGTATAAATAAAAACGTTTATCTTGTATTTAGATGAGCAAGAGGCTATTTACGTAAGGACATCCAGTCAAGGTGCAGTAACAGAGAGATTTCTTAATATCGGTTCACCTAAATCGACAAAATCTGAAGATCTTTTCGAGCATGTTTTGGCAGTATTCAAAGAATGTAATGTTGATAAAGGTAGATATAATAATAGCAGTCTTTTCTTTAATTACTAATCTCCCCAAAATATAACGGAAAACGGCCTTTAAGTAGGTTTTCTAATTCGTGAAAATAGAAATAAACCTTATTACTTTTTTTAAATTTGAAATCAATTTGGAAAATAAAAATATGTTATACTTTATTTTAGGCAGCTTAAGTCGACCTTCAGGCTTTTTTTGGTGTTACTAAATTATGCATTGTTAAATGAATATTTCAGACAAACTAGTGGGTATGGGCAGCGATGGCGCCTCCAATATGACAGGATCACGATCCGGATTGTCAACACTTTTGAGACAGCGTATCAACCCTGAAATAGTTAACGTACATTGTATGTGTCACAGACTTGAACTTGCTTTCCGTGATACACTGAAAAAGTCAAAATTGTATGATAAGTTGATGACATTGCTCATTGGCATACATTATTTTTACAAGAAAAGTTACAAAAACAAAAGTGCTCTCTTGAACGCCATTGAAGCAGTAGGTAAAGGTGTGTTACCACCTAAAGTAACTGGAACCAGATGGCTTCCACACCTATGTAGGGGAATAGGTGCTCTTTTGAAGACTTACAGAGCATTAGATGCCCAGTTATCTACTGCAAGTCATGAAAATGCTAAAGCAGAAGGCCTCCTTAAACTGATGTTAGATAAACATGTTCTGGCATTTGCTATTTTCTTACAGGTAAGTTTCAATAATGGTCGGATTTCATTTTTTAGAAAAGAATAGAAATCTAAGATAATTTGCTGATAAAAATTAAATGATCCTGATTTAATATTTTCCTGTTAAAATTTTGTTTTAATTTTTTGTTTTGATAGGTTAGAAAGTAATAATTACATAATAAATGGCAAGTGCATTGTACATGAATATAGCATGAAAAAAATATGCAGTATAAAATATCAAATTAGTATATGTATTGACAAAAAACATTTTTTGGTTATTTTTCCTTATTTAGGATGCATTGGATCATGTCATGACACTGTCCTTGAAGTTACAGAGAGATGATGTCACATTGTCTGATAGTCTGTGCTGGGTTGAATCTACTTTAGAGTTACTTCAGGAAAAGAAGGGAAGGTATGTACATAAATTAGTTTGATAAAATACTTCTGATTGCTAAATGTTTAATTGTCTATTTTTATTAAAGCAACATTTAATAAAATGGTAGTAATGTATATCATAAATTTGTCAGGAAGTGTGAAAGCTTATGTCATCTACTGGAGACTGGAATGTATGATGGGATTAAGCTGAAAGGTGTAACACCAACAATGACTTACACTGATGACATTCTCCAAGGTCTGTCAGATGCTATTAGTAACAGATTTATGACTGACCAGAAAAATGTGCAAAATGCCACAAAAATACTTAACTTTGGAAACTGGCCAGCAGCAGGAACCCCAGAATTACAAGGTTTCTGTTGATGCCGAAATGATTAATTTGTTGATTTTTCATGTTTCAGTTAACAAATGTTTTGTTCATTATCATTGTTTCAATTTCAGGATGTTTCAGTTTTAGCATTAATTTTGTTTACAGTGAGGAGAAAGAAAATACACATTGTACACTATGACAGATGTTTTATAAAGAAACCATGAAAACCGAAATAATGTTATAAATCAAAATGTTAAAATACAGAAAGATAAAATATTTAATCATACAGTGTGTATTTTCTTCCTTCACACTGATTTGTTGGATCAGTTTGGATTTAAAGTATAAAATTTAAGCTTCAAGTATACCAGCAACTGTCATGTTTATCTCTCAAACTCATCTCAACATAAAGAGCTGTAACTTACCTTTGAAGTTATTTAACTGTTAAGTCAAATCAATGATAAAATCTGAATTCATGTATGCAAGATATTTTCATTTAATACAGGCATTTATTCCTTTTAGAGTTTGGACAAGAAGAGGTATTGATGGTGTTTAGAAACTTTAATGCCAGTATTTGTAGAGTGACTGCAGACATAACTGAAGATAATCTGGTTAACCAATGGAGTCTTCTGAAGAAAATTGTCACAAAAAAGTAATTTGGAATTCATTCAAGTTTTTAAAACAACACTAAATGTCTGATTGTCTCTGATTGTTTATTTTATCCAAGATCAAATTTGAAATGTTGTACAATATAATTATCAAATATACAGCATGATGATATTGTAAAGTTAAAATGTAAATAATTCTAAAAACTTTTAAATCTTAATAGGGGTGAATTTGATTTCATCTTCATCACAATTTCAGTTTTTATAATCTTTTGCTCAATTTCAGGTATGGAGGGAAGATGTCTTCTCTCTCTTGGAAGACTGTACTACAGGAAAACTGCGACTTTCAACAGATAGCGCTTGTCATAGATGTAATGTTAACCATTCCCTCCACAAGTGTGAAGTGTGAAACAGCCTTCTCCCAACTGAAGCTTTTAAAAACCTGTAGACGGTCAAAGCTTGGGACTTCTGTTCTAAATGACTTGATGATTGTCAAGTTACAATCTCCATCAATAGCAAACTTTGACCCAGAAGATGCTATTGAAAAATGGCTGGTAAGATGCATGTAAATTATCTAAAAATGTTATTAAACATTAGATCACTCATTAATAAACTAAAATATCATTTCTATGTGTAATATCTTACATGTTTCCTTTCTCACTAAAACAATACTGTCAGGAAACCTGTAATATTTTCAGGTTTACTGTAAAAAGCAAACACTGTACTAATTCACTAAAGATCTTGTTTTCATTACACCTTACAAACTTTTCTCACCAGCCTAAAAACATAGTTAGATTTGAATAATCTTGTTCTTGTTCCTCCAGGCTGCATCAGTAATGGGACGGCGTACAACTTATATCAGAAGGCCCAAATCTACACGCGTCACTACCACAGTGGTCACTGACAGTGAGGCCCTCAGTGAGAATAATGCAACTGACACTGAAGAAATTGTACCAGTACCCAGTTATGATATAGATACTGCAGAAGCAAGACCCTCCGTTTCCACTTACTCTATTGACATGCTGTGTGATAAGGACTCTGATTATGATGATGATGATTTTGATCATGACTCAGAATGTTTTGATTTTCAGACAGAGTCAATCAATCTTGACAAATTGATGTTTTATCTAAGGGAATAAAATGGCTTCAAATCTTTAAAAGTTGTTATGTCTTTAAAAAAAAACACAAAGGTATTACCATATACTTATATTTGGAAATTTTTTTCGGTAAGACAAAAGTTCTTTCGGTCAGACAAGAATTGAAAGTTTGTCTGACCGAATGTCAGGCAAATTTTTCAGCAGTTTTCGCGAAGCCTGTCTTAAGTTAATTTATTTAGGAGCATAAAGTACTTTTTATAACAGGAATCTCGCATGCTTTATTATAATGCATACCTTCTTCCTATTTTTGATTATTGTTGTAATTTATGGGGGAAAGAAAACAATAAATATATATTTTAAATATACCAAATACAAACACGAATTTTTAAAATTATTCTAGACCTTACAATGTGAAAATGATCAGAAAATTAATACAAAAGATTAAAAGATGGCCTTTTAAAAAAAGATGTATTTTTCACACTGGTGTCCAAGTTTATAAAGCACTGAATAATATGCCCCCTCAATATATCCGAGACTTACTTACCATAACAAATAATCAAAAGTACAATCTAATATCGATATCTCGCGGAAATTTAATTTCGTCTTACAAACCACGTACTTATTATTTTAATGACACATTCCAATTCAATGCCATGGCTATTTTGAATTCCATACCACTGTCTATAAGAAGAAAAACAAAATTTTCAATATTAAGAATAGTTTAAAGAAATACTTATTTAATCAATAATTCAATCCATGTGTATTATATATACAATATACGCTCTTTATATTCGTACATGTGTTTTTTATTATCATGCTTTCTAATAATGGGGGTCTGTCTTAGTTTCAAGTTTTTTGACTGTGTTGTTAATTTTGTAAGTTTTTTTTTTACTTTTTAAATGGCAGATTAAAATTATGCACTGATGAAAGTATTATGTTTAATGATAATTAAAATGAATTGTATGAATGTTCAGTATATGTGTTAAGATATATGTTCAAATTGTGATAACCATTTAATCATTTCTTTTACATGTTATATTTTCTTTGATTGATGTGTGTTCTTTTGTGGTGTTTTATTTTTATTTTTTTATCTTTATTTTAGAAGGCCGCATTGTAAATAAAATGTTGCAATATGTATATGTCTTAATGTGTTACCTTCGGTAAATAATTTTTATTTCTGCATGTTTAACCATAGTCCTAATTAAAATATCACTGCCAAATACGTTTACATTTTTCGATGACATCAATAATAATGATTGAATATATCTTGGGTATTTTGAGTTTTACATTTTTGTCATTTATAAGATTATTTTCCTCGCAGATGAGGCATAAAGAGCGGTTCGTGAATATAAATCATCAATAACTGACAAAACATAGCCATAAAAAGGCTTCATATCATTTAAGTGTTAACCATTACGCTCTTATTTTTGAGATAATTGATAATAAAATCCGTCTCTGACCAACATTTTTATCATTTTTATTTTGCAAAATAAGTCTTCTGTATAACAAACCATGATTGAAATTCTAAATATAGAGTCACTTGGTACGTTTCTGTGTTATTTTCCTGATAACAATAGTAGAAGCTGTTTGCCAATGGTAAAATGATTTTTTGTTAAGTGAGTTAGTTCCTAGGTTCAAATTTCCTGAGCTTTCTGAGCCGGCAGGTACGCTATATACCGTCTGTGTCCCTCTGCAATAACGGGCATTTTCCTTATTGCATAAGGGAATTGTGCAGTCTACTTTCCAATCATTAAATTGTTCAATAAAGTACTATAATTCATTAAATATTCTTTCATTACATCTGAAAGATAGAATACCATATTTTCCGAATTGACATCGGACAATCTAAAGAAATTTAAACGTAATTTTGATAGGTAATTTACAGTTTTATAAATTTTTGATAACGGTGAAAAAACAGTATGTTTTAAGTAAAGATAACAGTTTGCATTTGTTTTAACTGAATTATTATCCACATAACATTTAACAGCTCGAAAAGAAATATGAATATTTATTTATACTTGCCATTTTGTACTGGTTTTCGGACATGACAAAACTTTAAAAAGGATCTAGAACTAGGCCTTATGATTGTTAATCAAGTACTTATTCATGCTTTTTACATGATCTTGCGGTCTTTTTTTCGAAGAAAAAGATGTAACATATATTAATATGTCATTAAGTCTTAAGTTAACACATCAATTTTAAAGGTAAACAGAACTAGATGTTCTAGAACAAAATATAATGCTGATATTTCAAGTATGGTTTTTTAAATGGCTTTGAAATGATTCCATACATGCGCCATATGCTCATAAAGGAATATATACACGTTCTATTTTTATATAAGTATTTTGGAAGATTTTTTCCAAATTAAAAATATGCAGTGTGCAATAACCTTTTTTAAATAATTACTTTAAAAGTAATACAAAAAAACACGTTTATATAACCGTACGTTCGATATACAAATGTAAGGTTGTCCTTTCACATTTTGTGAAATGTTTTCTGAAAGAATGCAAAGAATATAAATGCATAGTAATACAATTCATTTAAAATAATAAGATGACTTGACACGAACATCTAAGCACTTTTATAAAAAAAATATTCCTATAATTAAGAATACCTTGACGTAAATGCTACAAATGCTACGATGCTCAGGCTATTTTATCAATACTTTATTACATTTATTTATTTTCCGACTTTGAGTACGAATATTTCTGAGTACGAACCATCGCATTGTTTTGATGATTACTTTCAATAACATTGCATATATCTTATATTATTATGATTTTCAGATGCCATTTGTATATATAAATGTTTATGATCTATTCTTAAATGATGACATACGTTTATTTTCTTCATGTAATCTTGCTTAAAATTTGGTCACATTTCTGAATTTGCCACTGGTCGGCCATTTTGAATATTAATGTTATGACGTCACAGGGTACTATAAATACTGCGCGTTAGCATATCGTTGTCATCTCAATTCAGGTCGTCTGGTAGAAAAGTTCTCTATTGAGTAGATAATTGAAGACGATTAAATTACCGTAAATGGACCAGTTACAGGTGAAATTCACTTGTTGTTATTGTTAAACAGTTATAATTACTTTGCCAGTGTAGAGAACGGTTGTTCCAGAAATGGTTCATATTAGATCTGGTATAATAGCCAATCCAGTGTAGTACCCAATCTGGTAACTACCAGATCTGGTATCTCATTATATTGTACCAAACCTGGTACTTGTTTACTGAAATCTTGTCATCTTTAGGATTAATAATTATAGACTTTAGGCATACATGACTATGTATATTTAAATAAATTGATCTATATGATATTATAATTAAAAGAGTTTTAAGTCTACAAAATGTCTTATGTGTTCATTTATAATTTGGTACTTGGGCCGTGTAAAACGAACCCTGGGTTAATGTTAGGCTGCAGACTGCCCTGGAAACACTAAGCAGGGGTCTGGGCACCCATCTGGTGTCAGAAGTGGGATCTACAAGGTCTAACAAGATCATGGTTAACACAAATGTTTTAGATAAATTGAATATGAAAATATAGATAAGAACAGGGATATTTTTTTAGAATTTAGTTAGTATTACACATAAGTGAAAAAAACAAGTTTTCAATTTTTAAAGTTGAATATTCCTGACAATTGGATAGAGAAATTCAAAGAAAAATTAAATATTTGGGATAAGATTTGTCTGAGATTGATATGTTGTTTATGTTGACAGTTTTCTGTTCTGTTTTCTCTACACTGCAAGGTTATCTGTTGATGTTCTGTTGACAACCTGGAAAAGATAATGATATAATAAGTTGACACTTGTGATAAGTTACAGTGACAAAATTATAATAGTACAATAGTACAGAATTATGAACTTATTTGATTTTTTTTATGAAAAGTTACAAATAAGAAAATATAGTATATATACATATTTCCAGGTTGTGAGGTAAATTGTTTCCTTGATAAAAATATATAATTAACTTAGTAATAGTTAAAAATGGCTGAATCAGATATTGATATTGATCATAGCTATTCTGTTGTGAATACGAAAAACACTGAATCAATGGATAACAGTGATTATAGTGAAGGTGATCAAAGCTCTTCAGAAAATGTATTTAATGGAAATCAATATGTTTCTTGTTCTAGAATTGATAGTCTTGAGAATTTTATGGGAAGTCAAATTTCAAATTTAGTAAAAGAAATAGGCACTTGAAGCTTTACTTTAGAAAATGTAACTAGTAAAATACAAAATAAACTAAGTACTGTAGAAAATGATATTTTATCTGTTAGATCACGGTTGTCTTAACTAGAACATCCTGATAATGAGGTTAGTTTGAATCATTATATAAACAATGTACATTTTGAGCATAATGATTATTCTCTCAAATTCCTGTTCATATAACATCATCAAGACCAAGTAATATTAGTAATAATCATATAGGCCAAAATTTCAATGTAAGCTCTGCTGATAATATGATATCTCATGACAAGAGACATGGTTTGAAAATGAAACCACAGAATTTTAGTGGAGAAGAAGATCTTCATGATTTTCTCACACAGTTCGAAATAACTTCTGAAATTAATGGTTGGACATATATATTGAAAAGTCCTTATATTTGGCTAGTACAGTAATAGTATAACGTTTTGACGTTTTAACTAAGCTAGTTTTTTATTAAAGATTACCTTTTGCTGAAATGATTTTAGTGTAACTTGACTATTATGTTAATTGTTTATATTGCGACAATATATTTTAGTTTACGATACTTTAAAATATACGTTTGGTATACGTATTTTTAATAAACGTTTGGTATCATATAATATAATAATCGTCTCAGTGATCAAGATCATTCTTATCAGCCAATGAAAATAAAGTCATGCTTGAGCGATCATCTCAGCAGGTATAAATAAGGCGGCAGAGCCAAAATTACTCAGTCTGCAAAGGAATTCACCGGGACCAGGTTACTTTATGTAATTGAAGCCTCGCTTCATACATAGAGGATAATTTCGTCTACCTAACTGAAGCCTAGCTTCATAGGTAGAAAAGAAGAATTGGCAAAACTAAATACCCTTGTTTATCCAATTGAAGCCTAGCTTCATGGATATAGTGTCGTTATAGTTTAGTTGTGAAATTGTATTTGACTCTGGGTACTTATAGACCACCACATTTCCTGAAAGCCTCGCTATCAGAAAATTGGTAACATATAGGTATTAAAAATCCAGAGGTAGATTTAAAACGAATAAGCTTTGTATAGTTGGAACTTTGTTGTAAATCCCTACCAGCAACTTATCTTTCTATCTAAATAGAAGCCTCGCTTCATAGATAGGGAGGTAGTTGCTGGACTATAGGAATTATCGGGTTGCAGCGTGATATCTATAGTTTTCAATAATTTTATAGTGTTATATTGTAAACATCATCTTTACTATATTGAGCCTTTTTGAGAATTTAATAGTGTGTTTCGGAGTGTTAATTCAAGCTGATTGTTTATAATATTTGATCATTTAAGAATCATTTGTATCTAATCAAACGGCAGGTAGCCCAAAGAAAAATTAATAATATATTTGTGTACATCCGCTCGGTACACGTTACAAAAATTGGTGGCAGCGGTGGGATCATATAGATAAAAACACCATTATCTGGCCCCACATATTAAAATAGATATTTGTTAAGAAATGTCTGAGAGTAAAGATTTTAGTAATAGCAATGAGCTTATTTTGTTACACGAAAAACTCAGAGATTTGCAGCACCAAAATGAAGCTTTGAAATTGCAAAATGAAATATCATTACTTGAAAGACAAATTGACAGTATGCAGTTATCGTTTCAAAATCAATATGACTCAAACTATGAAGACAAACAAACGTCAACACCTAAATTTTTAACAAGACAATATGCAACACCTCTATCAGAAAGAAGGAGACGTTTATTACCACCGACCCCAGATAAAAAGCCCTTTAAAATAGAAAGTGTCTTAACCCCATTAGCTGAAAATCAAAGGTTTACGGAATCTCCTTGTGGCTCTGATTTAAATTATCCGAGGGATCGATTTGTTACTTTTCGAAAGAGAAAATCACAACCAGCAAATAAAACAGAGTCCTTACACAGCAACATACAAATGGATACTTCAAATTCAACAGAAATAAAACGTGATCCTAAAAACTCAAATTCAAAACGAAGTGTTATGATGAAGCCAGATACGTATAATGGAACTAGCTCCTTGGATAAACTTTAAAGCGCTTTTTGAGGCATGTTCAGAAATAAATCAATGGACAAACAAAGAAAATGGCTTTATTTATTAGTTTCGTTAACAGGGGAAGATCGGGTATTTGGAAACCTGACAAGCAAAGCACCAAATTATGATGAACTTGTATTAGCATTACAAGAAAGGTTTTCACCACTCAATCAAACTGAATTATATAGAGCTCAACTAAGAGAAAGAAGACAAAAAGCTACAGAATCTTTATCTGAAATGGGGCAGGACATAAGACGTTTGACTAATTTAGCATACCCTTCAGCACCATCAGATGTAAAAGAGACTTTAGCAAAAGAACAATTCATAGATTCTTTGATTAACTCGGATATGAGACTTAGAATTAAACAAGCTCGTCCTACAAGCTTGAATGAAGCAGTAAGGCATGCTGTTGAGCTTGAGGCTTTCAACAGGGCGGAACGAAAATCCAATGAAACTCGTGGTTATATGAGAAAATTAAATTCTGACGAATATGATAGTCAGAAAAGTCAAGAAGACAAATTAGATAGCCTGATAAAATTAGTAGAGGAAATGAAGAATATGTTATCAAAGTTTCAACGCCAAAATAATTTTAAAACTTTTGATAAAAGAAACATAGATACATCCCAGCGAAATCAAAATAATAGAATGTCTTCTAGAACATTTGCTTATGGGTCGAATACAAAGTCTTTGAAATGCTATGAGTGTGGTCGGGAAGGTCATAATAAATACAATTGTCGAAAATTCATTAGTAGATCAAAACGAAAAATTAATGTGTTGGAGAAAGATTGTGAAAATTTGTCTGATTCGTGTGGTTCAGGGTTATTTGTTGAAGCTACAATAAATGGCATCAAAGCTGATTGTTTAATTGATACTGGTGCAACACTTTCAATGATTTCCTCAAGTTTTATAAATAGATGTCAGTTTCCAGTAATTTTAGAACCGGTTGAAACAAATATTGTAAATGCATCTGGAAATCCTTTAGAAATTAAAGGTAGGACACATTTAGATATGAAATTGAATGATGAAATTTCAACAAATCCTTTCATAGTTTCTGACATAGAGGAAGATGCAATATTAGGATTAGATTTTATGACAGCAAGAAATATTGTAATAGATGTTTCGAATAATCAGTTAACAGCCAATGGTAAAAAGATGAAAATAAATTGTAAAGGTCCGATTGGTTGTAACCGCGTGATTTGTCATTTTTGTGGAATGAATTTTAGAAAGAAATCTTATATAAGACAGCACTGTAGAAGAATACATAAAGTAAGGGAATCTCAAGATACAGGGCATTCGGAAAATGTGCATGCTAAATCTAATTGTTAGAGGCAGCTTAAAACAATATTTTGTTAATTCATGCGGGGCGCATGTAAAACGGAGGCGTGGGTAGTGTAACGTTTTGACGTTTTAACTAAGCTAGTTTTTTATTAAAGATTACCTTTTGCTGAAATGATTTTAGTGTTACTTGACTATTATGTTAATTGTTTATATTGCGACAATATATTTTAGTTTACGATACTTTAAAATATACGTTTGGTATACGTATTTTCAATGAACGTTTGATATCATATAATGTAATAAACGTCTCAGTGATCAGGATTACTTTAATCAGCCAATGAAAATAAGTCATGCTTGAGCGATCATCTCAGCAGGTATAAATACGGCGGCAGAGCCAAAATTATTCAGTCTGCAGAGGAATTCACCGGGACCAGGTTACTTTATGTAATTGAAGCCTCGCTTCATACATAGAGGATAATTTCGTCTACCTAACTGAAGCCTAGCTTCATAGGTAGAAAAGAAGAATTGGCAAAACTAAATACCCTTGTTTATCCAATTGAAGCCTAGCTTCATGGATATAGTGTCGTTATAGTTTAGTTGTGAAATTGTATTTGACTCTGGGTACTTATAGACCACCACATTTCCTGAAAGCCTCGCTATCAGAAAATTGGTAACATATAGGTATTAAAAATCCAGAGGTAGATATAAAACGTTTCGGAGTGTTAATTCAAGCTGATTGTTTATAATATTTGATCATTTAAGAATCATTTGTATCTAATCAAACGGCAGGTAGCCCAAAGAAAAATTAATAATATATTTGTGTACATCCGCTCGGTACACGTTACAATAGGTACTGCCAGATCTCTGCTTACAGAATTGTCTGAAACTGAAAGAAGAGATTTCTCAAGTTTGATTTTAAAACTAAAGAGCAGATTTGGCTTTGAAAATTAGGCCGAGGTATTTCGTACTCAACTAAAAACTAAAATAAGGTTAAAGGGAGAGTCCATTCCTAAATTGGCCCAATCAATACGTAAATTGACAAGAAAAGCATATCCAACCGCAAACCCAGACGTTGTAGATGCTTTAGCTTTAGATAGCTTTATAGATGCCCTGAATGAGTCTGATATTAGACTAAGATTAAGAGAAGGTAGCCCAAAAAAGCATATATGAGGCTGAACAAATAGCTGTAAGGATGGAAGCTCATAGGCTTGCTGACAGACAGAGAAGTAGACTGATAGGCAGTGTACAGGAAAGAATTGAAAACCCTACAAATTCTGTATCCTCACAAAATAGTTCTCATAGCAACCCTTACCTACCTAAACCTAACATGCCGAAACCTACATTTAACAGACCATATCAAGCTCAGGAATTAAGACCTGAAAATAATAGACAGCAAACAAGACACAATTTCAATCATTTTAGAAACTATCATGAAAATAGGAATACTAGGTATTATGCTAGATGTAATGGAAACCAACCAAGTTCAAGGTATGATAATAGAAGAAATCAAAATCTTAATCAGGGAAACAAACAAATGCCAAGTTGGAGGGGCCACAACAAGTATGTACCTTTCTGCCTGATGGCACATCACACTGCTATACATCAATCTACTGGTGTCACACCATTCTCTGTGATGTTTGGAACTCAAATAAGGTTGCCAATTGACCTACTGATAGGAGCTCCTCTTGTAGACAATCCTGAAAAAGAAAACAGGTATGCCAGTGATTATGTAAGAAAATTAGAGGAAAAAACTTCATCAAATTCAATCTTTTGCTAGAAAGAAATTAAAAATTTCAAGTGATGCTATGAAAAGAAATTATGATTTAAATGCTAATCAGACTTCTTATGTAGTAGGTGATTCTGTTTGGTATCATAAAATATGATAAACAAGATCAACAAGGAAAGGCGGCGTTCAATGAACGCAACACCCACAGAGAAAAGTTGGTAGAAGTGGAAAATTAACAAGACCGTGGAAAGGTCCATATCAAATAATTGAAAAAGCAACATTTTATATCGAATAAAGGGTAGTCAGAGAGAACGACCTAGAGTTGTTCATCATGATAAGCTAAAAGCATACATTAATTAAATAAATAGGTGTAAATGGCACACCTATAATTCACAACAGTAACATTAGTTTTATCGTTACTGTTCTGCTGTTGTTGTTGGTAATTTTTACTACATATTAAATAAATATATGATATTCAGTTGATAATGTCTCATTCAAAATGAAAAGATTAATGTATATATGATTCTTTACCAATTGATTATTATAAATGAAAAGATTATATAATGATGATTATTATATACATGAAATGATAAATAATACTTGATAAGAAATTACTTTCATAACATGTTGAAAAGTAATTATTGTACATTCACGAAATATATTGATGGATAAATATAAAGATAATGAAGATTATACTTAGGAAACTTATTTTGTCTATCTTCAGAAACCCTTTAAATGTAAGATTTGTGGGGATATCTCCTTTACAACCCGAAGCAGATGTTACAGTCACATTCTAGAACAGCACTCTGGTGTGACATGGAAGTGTAGATTCTGTTGCAAGGTCTATCATAGAAACACACCGCAAGCAAATACCTGTCACGACAAAAAGGAAAATTATATTAGGTTTGTCCAGGCTACAGGTGAAAGAGGGAAAGAAGCTGATGACATAATGGAAAGATTTAAACTAACAATTCCTGATTTGATAATAGACAAAAGGCAAGGGTATAATATGATAAGGAAACAGACAAGACCAGAATTATTCGAAAGAAAGAGGGGAAGGCCGCAAAGCAGAGAAAATAGATGTACGAAAAGGAGAAGGGAAAGTTCTAGCTCAAGTAGCTCTGAATCATCAGACACATCCAGATCAAGTAGTACAAGCTCAAGAGAAGATGAAACGGTAACTGCTGTTAGGGATCTACTTGATCTGGAGGATGACTTTCAAATTGTGGAACCATGTTATGAAGAGAAATTAAGAAAAGAAGGTGAAGAAAGACTAAGAATTGAAAATGAAAGAAAAGAGAAACAGGAAAAATTTAGAAAAGAGAAAGAAAGGAGAGAGATAGCAGAGGTAAAGGAGAGACAAGAAAGGGAGGAGAGGCTCAGAATTGAAAGGGAAATAAAAGAAGATGAAGCAAGGAAAGAGGCAGAGGAGAAAAAGAGAAAAGAGGAGGAACTTAGACTTGAGAAAGAAAGAAAAGAGAAAGAAGTGAAGGAAGCAGAGGAAAAGCAAAGGCAAGAAAGGGAGGAGAGACAGAGAGTAGAAAAGGAAAGGAAAGAGAATGAAGCAAGGAAAGAAGCAGAGGAGAAAAAGAGAAAAGAGGAGGAACTTAGACTTGAGAAAGAAAGAAAAGAGAAAGAAACAAAAGAAGCAGAGGAGAAAAAGAGAAAAGAGGAGGAACTTAGACTTGAGAAAGAAAGAAAAGAGAAAGAAACAAAAGAAGCAGAGGAGAAAAAGAGAAAAGAGAAGGAACATAGACTTGAGAAAGAAAGAAAAGAGAAAGAAACAAAAGAAGCAGAGGAGAAAAAGAGAAAAGAGAAGGAACTTAGACTTGAGAAAGAAAAGAGAAACATGGAAGCAGAGAAAGAAAAGGAAGAAAAGGGAAGAGTAGAAGAAAAGAGACAACACGCAAAGGACAAGGAGGAAAGACATAGTAAGAAAACAGAAGAAAAACAAAAGATCGAAATAGTTACACTGAATGTAGGAGGAAGAAATTTTTTAAATTTAGATACCACCGTGAAAGGCATAATGGACAAAGTAGTGCTAAATTAAGATGAATTGTTCATTGACAGGGACAGTGAACTATTCCCATATGTTTTAAATCATTTAAGATACCGTCAACAAGGAGTGATGAACCTGTCAAGGGATCTTTTACCATCAGACAGAGGAAGTTTGGCTGCATTACAACTCGAGGCGAAATATTTCAACCTCCCAAAGCTGGAAAAACAGTGCAGTGACAAAAGGATAAGTTTAAAAGAAAATGTTTAAACAAGAATAAATAAAGTGTTATAATGTCAAATATACATGTGATGATAAAAGGAATATTTAGAAAATAATTATTGAAAGATAAAAGGAATTTTTAGATAAAAGAAATACATATGACAAAAGGAATTTACCGATAAACTAAGTATCAGCATGATGAACAAACTAAAGGAACAGTATAACAGGTATCTTTAGTGGACTTTAAAAGATTAATTTAACTTTATACAAATAAATTTCACATTTAATGTTTCCAACTAATTTTAGTGTTAACAGATATTTCAAAGTAAACTTTTTGCCATAAATTTTATTAAGCAAACTTTAATCAATTTCGTGAGAATTAATTATCTTAACTTTATTTGTGAGACAAACTCATACTTACGTAATATACATATTTTGTGATTATTCTACAGGATTTTGTGCCATGCACAGTTCAGTGTGTCTGAAATACTTTAAAAATAATACAATGAACATTAAATTTTTGTGCAAAATAATTTGACGCTATAGAATACATCAATGTTGAATATACATGTATACATATAGTGTTATTAATAAATAACATTTGACATTATACTTTGTAATGCAATGTTACTAAATATTAAAATTTATGAACACTTAGTGCATTATAACTGACATAATTGCTTACTTTAACAGATGAGACTTACACATTTCTTATATTAAGAATATGTAAAGACATTTTAATTATTATCTTTGTGGAATATACATGTACTATTACTTTTAGGCATGTTAAATTATTATTGTTATTGTTTCCATAAGTTATTGAAGTCAATTCGCATGTGAAGTAAAAGTGATATTTTTAAATTATTGACACAAAACAATTATTTAAAGGCTGTATACTTACATATTTATAGACATCTGTACTGGTTCTACAGTCTGAATTGCTTTGAAGAGGTATCCTAAAAGAGACTTCCTATTGTTAATTGTAAATAAATTTTTATTTTGAATTGTTAAATTGTTATAAAAAGATTATATCTACAAGTGAACAACATAACTCTTAATTAATTGGTGTTGTTAATTATTTACATGTTTTTCAGTAATCAATTTAGTCAATTAAGCATAATTATAATAAGTATTTGATAGTGTACTTTTAAATAAATAGTTAAAATAATATGTAAAAATTAACTTACCACACTTCTTAATCGGTGACCGATTCCTGAGAGGTGGGGGTAATGTGATGCTCAGGCTATTTTATCAATGCTTTATTACATTTATTCATTTTCCGACTTTGAGTACGAATATTTCTGAGTACGAACCATCGCATTGTTTTGATAATTACTTTCAATGCAACTGCATATATCCTATATTATTATGATTTTCAGATGCCTTTTGTATATATAAATGTTTATGATCTATTCTTAAATGCTGACATACGTTTATTTTCATGTAATCTTGCTTAATATTTGGTCACATTTCTGAATTTGCCACTGGTCGGCCATTTTGAATATTAATGTTATAACGTCACAGGGTACTATAAATACTGCGCGTTAGCATATCGTTGTCATCTTAATTCAGGTCGTCTGGTAGAAAAGTTCTCTATTGAGTAGATCATTGTAGTCGATTAAATTACCGAAAATGGACCAGTTACAGGTGAAATTCACTTGTTGTTATTGTAAAACAGTTATAATTACTTTGCCAGTGTAAAGAACAGTTGTTACAGAAATGGTTCATACCAAATCTGGTATAATACCCAATCCGGTGTAGTACCCAATCTGGCAACTACCAGATCTGGTATCTCATTATATTGTACCAAACCTTGTTTACTGAAATCTGGTCATCTATAGGAATAATGATAATAGACTTTAGGCATCCATGACTATGTATATTTGAATAAATTGATCTATACAATATTATAATTAAAAGAGTTTTAAGTCTACAAAATGACTTACCTGTTCATTTATAATTTGGTACTTGGGCCGTGTAAAACGAACCCTGGGTTAATGTGAGGCTGCAGACTGCCCTGGAAACACTAAGCAGGGGTCTGGGCACCACAATTTGAAATAATATAAATGTAATATAATACAAATATTGACTTTCAAGGGAATGAATATGATGTGATATGTACTGAAAAAAAGATAATGAACCAGACATATGTTTATCGATAAAACGTGAATTCAGTTCATGTAAATATAATAAAAATCTTCTGTAAAAAAAAACAACAAAAAAAACATTGTGTTCTGTCCCATTATTCTTAAAACTAATCCGGCTATTTCAGACTTGAACTGAACAAACAAGTTGACCAAATTCATTTTATCTGTTTTGTACGTGAAAAGTATAGCAGACCTTTAGAACGCTTTATAAAAAAGGCGACATAAACTTGTCAACTAAATCACATACATCATTCTATAAAATCCTTACAGACGTGATGTCACGCTTTTTATCAAATGATTCTAAATATAGCCTTTGATTCTGAGGGTTTTCCGGAAATTTTTGGGTTGATAAGAACGGACTTTATTATATACGATTTATATATACATAAGAGCAGTACGACTATTCTAAGATTAATGTAATAATGATTAAAACGACGGACGACACTTATGATCTAACATTTCTAAGCATCTAACATGAGTAAGCTATAGATATTGCTTCAAACGTCATTGGCACGTGTCTTAGTCATGTGCCCTAAAATTAAATGCAACACTGTCTATTTCCACACCTTTATTCTTCGATTTTCTCTTTAAGTAATTATAATTATTATCATTATTATTGTTTTATTATTACTATTATTATTATAATTATGGACAATATTTAATACTCCACCCCTTAACGAATTTATTTCAGTTGATAGAGTTTTTACTGTTTTTTTTTTAATATAGGTCATACTGAAACTGTGACGGCCGATTGCAATCTTCCTCACTTTTTTATAAACGGAGACCTAAGGGGTAAAAAAAGTAACATAATAAAAGAAGTAATATCCACATTTGTTCTTTTTAATCAATATTTGAAATACTTATGTACAACTACTTATTGTAGGTCAATCTACATTTAAGTGACATTATGCTCATTTTTTTTTCGTTGTCAAGTTTAATTTGAATCAAGAGATTGACTATTTTAATAGTGATTGAACAAGAATAAAAATTAGAAATATAATGATAAAACAAACTCACACACTATAAAGACTGAACCACTCTTTTTATCAACTGAGCTAAGCTGATATGTTTATAAAAAATCCAAGTTTGTGTTTATCTATTAATTTAAAAGTAGAATACGAAATTGATAACAAATTGATAGCAAATATGGTATATGGCAAATGAATACTTAGTTTACTTTTAAATGAACATAAAAGATTATTTTGGTGGGTAATCTGCCACTTTATCAGAAATAAAAAAAGAACACAACTACAAAATTCAAAAACAAAACAAGCGAAGGAGGTAGGAATGACTTGACAAGGGAACATTCCCTTCAAATATTGCATTTTGAATTGTGATATTTTAAAGTTAATTTTCTTGAGCTTTTTTCCAACTTTATAAAATAGTATGTGTAAAATGCATCAGAAAAAAAAAGTTTTGTACAAATGCACTAAATATCAAAGCATTTTTTGATACAAGACTACAAACGAATAATTGACTAAAATTTTAGTTTAATTATTTTTTTAACATACTGTGCAATTAGTCATAAAAATTATGGGCACTTAAATGTTTGACGTTGCTTTTCCCTGATAAGAACACATCATAAATATGCACTTCCTTGTAACTCAGTACAAAAATAATTTAATAATTTCAGTTTTTCATTTCATTTACACACGACACAATTAACGCATGAAATACTATGCATGATTGTAATATAACACAAGGAAATTTTACGAAAGAATATGGATAGTTTATACAGAATGTATTAAATCTAATTACACATTCATCACAATATACCATGCAAAAACCAGTAAGGAACAAAAATGAAATGCTTCATTGCTCAAAGTAACAACCGCTTACTTTTGAAACCATGTAAAAACCTATTTACCGACCCATACTTTTGGACATTTAGTTTCTTACGAACACCGGGTTATTTACTTATCGTTCGTGTTGTTTTTATACAATGTATTATTTATCTCTCTTAGTATGCACAAATATGCCTACAACATTTTGTTAGTTCGTTTGTCAGTCATGAATCTAATAAAACAAATGAAAAACACTATTTAGTGATGAAGTAAGTTGCATGAAATAGAGTAAGATTTCACCCTATTATTATACTTTTTGTCTTTTAAAACAATTTCAAGATCGTTTTGCTCTAAAATCATATTGGCATTTATAGTTATCTTTAAGTTTAAAAGGAAATATCAGTTATCAGATCGGAAAAAGTAGACTCATTAAGAAACGCTTGGAACTATGATACTTTGATAATTGTTGCTATAATTATAAGTCAGTCATGAAAAGTCCCTATAAGTTTTAATTGTAATAATAAAGAATTATGAAAAGCAATTTAATATGTTTCTACGTGTACGTATGGTACATACGTAACTATCATATACAATGTATTTAATACAAATATTGATTCAAGCATCATTCTGCAATCTATACAAACTTAGCCCTTTAAAATACATCACGCTTGTTTTGCTGAAACATTTCATTGCATGGAACTACTGATGTTGGCTATTATTTGTAACAATATAACAACTAGTATGCTAAAATATACTAAAGTGTAAGACTGATGTATGCTTAACTTGAAAAAGCTGATATCTGAAATACTCAATGACTGCTATATGAAAACGGTATCATTTATTTTATGCCCAGTATATTTGCAGCAGCTAGCTTGTCTACGTGAAACTATAGTATTCACTCAGTGTTGATAAATCT